TTTTAAACTGAAGCTGATTGACCTTTTTTTTGGAAAACTTGAAAAATATATTTCCGTTTTTTTCGTTTATTTGACAGATAAAGCAGAAATGAGTTGAGACCTGTATTTTTATTTTTTATTTTATTTAAAGAGGCCACTAAAAATCATCGCAATCTACGAAATCATTTCCAATTTGTACCATTCTCTTTTTCTTTTTAATATAATCTGATTAATCACTTTTTGGACAATTTTTGAAAATTATGTTCTCATTTTTCTCTTATTTAGACAGATGAAGCAACATTGACTATAGACTCGTTATCATACAGGAGTATATTTTTTCTTTGCTACATAACTTTTGGGAAATTTTTTAAAGATTTTTGAAAAATTTCAGGAATCTTTTTGGATAATTTTTGAAAATTATTTTCCCATTTTCTTCTGTTGTTTCAAAAGCAGCAAAAATTCGCAATCTACGATTGTTTCTCTACATGATACACATTTTTTTTTTCTGAATTGAAGCCGATTATTTACATTTTTTGTGGGATAAAACTTTTTGGAAAAATTATGGAAAATTTTTGGAAATTTTTTGGAAAATATTTTTCATTTTTTCTCAGTTATTTAAAGAGGCCACTAAAAATGATCGCCATTTACGAAAAAATTCTCAATATGTATACCATCTTTTTCTTTTGAATAGAATTCGATTTTCCACTTTTTAGACAATTTTTGAAAATTATTTTTCCATTTTTTTCTTATTTAGATAAATGAAACAAGAGTTACTCTAGACTCGTGATGATATATTTTTTTCTTTGCTACATAACTTTTGGGAATTTTTTTAAAGATTTTTGAAAAATTTCAGGAATTTTTTTGGATCATTTTTGAAAATTATTTTCCCATTTCTTCCGTTGTTTCAAAAGCAGCAAAAATTCGCCACCTACGATTGTTTCTCTACATGATACACATTTTTTTTTCTTTTGAATTGAAGCCTATTATTTACATTTTTGTGGGATAAAACTTCTTGGAAAAATTATGGAAAATTTTTTGAAAATTTTTGGAAATTTTTTGGAAAATATTTTTCATTTTTTCTGAGTTATTTAAAGAGACCACTAAAAATGATCGCCATTTACGAAAAGATTCTCAGTATGTATATCGTCTTTTTCTTTTGAATAGAATTCGATTTTCCATTTTTTGGAGAATTTTTGATAATTATTTTCCCATTTTTTTCTTATTTAGATAGATGAAGCAAGAGTTACTCTAGACTCGTGATGATATATTTTTTCTTTGCTATCTAACTTTTGGGAAAATTTTTTGAACGATTTTGAAAAATTTCAAGACATTTTTTGGATAATTTTTGAAAATGATTTTTTCATTTTTTTTCCATTGTTCCAAAAGCAGAAAAAATTCGCAGTCTACGATTGTTTCTCCATGTGTTAGAATTTTTTTTTTCTTTTAAACTCAAGCTGATTGACCTTTTTTTGGAAAACTTGAAAAATATGTTGCCGTTTTTTTTGTTTATTCGACAGATAAAGCAGGAATGAGTTGAGATCTGTATTTTTATTTATTTATTTTTTTTATTTAAAGATGCCACTAAAAATTATCGCAATCTACGAAATCATTTACAATTTGTACCATTCTCTTTTTCTTTTTAATAGAATCTGATTAATTACTTTTTGGACAATTTTTGAAAATAATGTTCTCATTTTTCTCTTATTTAGACAGACGAAGCAAGATTGACTTTAGACTCGTAATCATATAGGAGCATATTTTTCTTTGCTACATAACTTTTGGGAAATTTTTTAAAGATTTTTGAAAAATTTCAGGAATTTTTTTGGATCATTTTTGAAAATTATTTTCGCATTTTCTTCCGGTGTTTCAAAAGCAGCAAAAATTCGCAATCTACGATTGTTTCTCTACATGATACACATCTTTTTTTCTTTTGAATAGAAGCCGATTATTTGCATTTTTTGTGGGATAAAACTTCTTGGAAAAATTATGGAAAATTTTTTGAAAATTTTTGGAAATTTTTTGAGAAATATTTTTCATTTTTTTCTGAGTTATTTAAAGAGTGCACTAAAAATGATCGCCATTTATGAAAAAATTCTCGGTATGTATATTGTCTTTTTCTTTTGAATAGAATTCGATTTTCCATTTTTTGGAGAATTTTTGAAAATTATTTTCCCATTTTTTTCCTATTTAGATAGATGAAGCAAGAATTACTCTAGACTCGTGATGATATATTTTTTTCTTTGCTAACTAACTTTTGGGAAAATTTTTTGTACATTTTTGAAAAATTTCAAGACATTTTTTGGATAATTTTTGAAAATGACTTTCTCATTTTTTTCCATTGTTTCAAAAGCAGAAAAAAATCGCAGTCTACGATTGTTTCTCCATGTGTTAGATTTTTTTTTTCTTTTAAACTGAAGCTAATTGACCTTTTTTTTGGAAAATTTGAAAAATATGTTCCCGTTTTTTTCGTTTATTTGACAGATAAAGCAGGAATTAGTTGAGACCTGTATTTTTTTTTTTTTATTTAAAGAGGCTACTAAAAATTATCGCAATCTACGAAATCATTTCCACTTTGTACCATTCTTTTTTTCTTTTTAATATAATCTGATTAATCACTTTTTGGACAATTTTTGAAAATTATGTTCTCATTTTTCTCTTATTTAGACAGATGAAGCAAGATTGACTTTAGACTCGTAATCATATAGGAGTATATTTTTTCTTTGCTACATAACTTTAGAGAAATTTTAAAGATTTTTGAAAAATTTCAGGAATTTTTTTGGATAAGTTTTGAAAATTATTTTCCCATTTTTTTCCGTTGTTTCAAAAGCAGCAAAAATTCGCAGTCTACGATTGTTTCTCTACATGATACACTTTTTCTTTCTTTTGCATTGAAGCCGATTATTTACATTTTTGTGGGATAAAACTTCTTGGAAAAATTATGGAAAATTTTTTGAAAATTTTTGGAAATTTTTTGGAAAATATTTTTCATTTTTTCTGAGTTATTTAAAGAGACCACTAAAAATGATCGCCACTTACGAAAAGATTCTCAGTATGTATATCGTCTTTTTCTTTTGAATAGAATTCGATTTTCCATTTTTTGGAGAATTTTTGAACATTATTTTCCCATTTTTTTCTTATTTAGATAGATGAAACAAGAGTTACTCTAGACTCGTGATGATACATTTTTTTCTTTGCTATCTAACTTTTGGGAAAATTTTTTGAACATTTTTGAAAAATTTTAAGAAATTTTTTGGATAATTTTTGAAAATGATTTTCTCATTTTTTTCCATTGTTTCAAAAGCAGAAAAAAATCGCAGTCTACGATTGTTTCTCCATGTGCTAGATATTTTTTTTTTCTTATGAACTGAAGCTGATTGACCTTTTTTTTGGAAAATTTGATAAATATGTTCCCGTTTTTTTTGTTTATTTGACAGATAAAGCAGGAATGAGTTGAGACCTGTATTTTTTTTTATTTAAAGAGGCTACTAAAAATTATCGCTACCTACGAAATCATTTCCACTTTGTACCATTCTTTTTTTCTTTTTAATATAATCTGATTAATCACTTTTTGGACAATTTTTGAAAATTATGTTCTCATTTTTCTCTTATTTAGACAGATGAAGCAAGATTCGCTTTAGACTCGTAATCATATAGGAGTATATTTTTTTTTGCTACATAACTTTTGGGAAATTTTTTAAAGATTTTAGAAAAATTTCAGGAATTTTTTTGGTTCATTTTTAAAAATTATTTTCCCATTTTCTTCCGTTGTTTCAAAAGCAGCAAAAATTCGCAATCTACGATTGTTTCTCTACATGATACACATTTTTTTTTTTTAGAATTGAAGCCGATTATTTACATTTTTTGTGGGATAAAACTTCTTGGAAAATTTTTGGAAAATTTTTGGAAAATTTTTTGAAAATATTTTTCATTTTTTCTGAGTTATTTATAGAGGCCACTAAAAATGAGCGCCATTTACGAAAAAATTCTCAGTATGTATATCCTCTTTTTCGTTTGCATAGGATTCGATTTTCCATTTTTGGAGAATTTTTGAAAATTATTTTCCCATTTTTTTCTTATTTAGATAAATGAAACAAGAGTTACTGTAGACTCGTGATGATATATTTTTTCTTTGCCATCTAACGTTTGGGAAAATGTTTTAACATTTTTAATAAATTTCAAGAAATTTTTTGGATAATTTTTGAAAATAATTTTCCCATTTTTTTCCATTGTTTCAAAAGCAGAAAAAATTTGCAGTCTGATTGTTTCTCCATGTGCTAGATAACTTTTTGGAAAATTTTTGAACATTTTTGAAAAATTTCAGAAATTTTTTTGGATCATTTTTGAAAATTACTTTCCTATTTTCTTCCGTTGTTTCAAAAGCAGCAAATTTTCGCAATCTGTGATTGTTTCTCTACATGATACACATTTTTTTTTTTTTTAATTGAAGCTGATGAAGCTTTTTTTTTTTGGAAAACTTGTAGAATAAGTTCCCGTTTTTCTCGTTTATTTAGACAGATGAAGCAAGAATGAGTTGAGACCCGCAATTATTTACATTTTTTGTGGGATATAACTTCTTGGAAAAATTGTGGAAAATTTTTGGGAAAATGTTTTTCAAGCAAGAGTTACTCTAGACTCATGATGAGATATTTTTTTCTTTGCTATCTAACATTTGGGAAAATTATTTTCCCATTTTTTTTCATTGTTTTAAAAGCAGAAAAAATTCGCAGTCTACGATTGTTCCTCTATATGATACACTTGATGTTCGAATAATAATATCTTTTTCATTTGCTAGCACCTTTTATTAACAATTTTTGTTGTAAGTAAAAAATTTTCGGCATTTTAAATTTTAATTACAAAAATCAGAAATGTTGCAACTTGCCAATATAATTTCTTAATAAAAATAAATGTGGCAAATCCGCCTTAAGTGAAAAAAAATTTCACGCCCCACTTTTGTCTAAAAACATCCCGACCGATTTATGCAATTCTCCTCCACTTTGTTTACCGCTCTAATTATTTTCCAGGCACATACATATCACAAAATGTCGGCACAAACCCCTCACTACCTGCTCAGCACTCTACTTATCTTCGTCATTGCCACTCTGGCGTTCTCCAGCGCAAGACCGAACCACTTCGGAGAGGGCAACCAGGTACGTCCCGACGATTAAAGCGATTAATTACACCCCCAGACGTGTCCCAAACGAAGTCACGTCCCCTTTATCTTCTAAATTTTCGCAATCATCAGTTGCCAAGTCACGACCCTATTATTATTCCACCCTCCCAGCCAACTTACCATTGTTCTTGCATTTTACATCCTTAAATTCAATTTGAAAATAACCTCCCGAACCCACGCAAAACTAATATCGCTGGACAACCGGCGGATTTTCGTCCCCGGAGAGACCTGAGCGCAATGCAAATTGCGAGCCGGAATTAGATTTGAAGGAATATTTCATAACGGAATTGTTGCTGCCACTTTGATTTTGCAATGGAGTTGCGCCTGAAATTTATCCGAAGAGCCGTGAGCTATGCTGCGAATAAGATGTTCCGCTTGGGAGTTCAAATTGCGACACTGCAGCTAGTGTCAGCGGAATTTCTCGTATTTTGTTTTTGGGGGCTTATTTAGTATTTATGTGGGGGATTGGGGGAAAGCTGCTGCAGACGAATGTGCTAAACGGAAATAAACGGGTTAATATGGAGGTATTTATTTGTTGGCGGGCTTGGGTGAAGTTCAATTATTCAGTGTTTGGAGAGGGTTAAATGTTAGTGAACCCACCGGAGTTCTATGTATATTTTCGCGGAAAGTAGGTTTCGGGATTAGGGATTATGCATTATGAAATTGGTGCTTTGCTAGCTTACTTATTTCTTGACGGGGTAGATCATGGAATGTTTATATTAACAAGGAATTTTTACGGTTTTTGAGTGTAATGTGGGAGGGCCAAATTTTTATGAATTAGAATTTTTTAATCAAATGATCAATTTTATAGATTATCGAAATTGAATTTTGTGACATTTTTATAGTTCCTTCATCATAGTTTCAAATGTCTTTTAGCACTGTTACGTTCGTAAAATACACTGCATTTCAAATAAAAAAAAAATTATCACTCTTCAAAGACTCTTAAAATCCTCAAATTTCTTACATCCAGAGTTTAGAAGTATATTTACATAAATTTCACAATTCTTACATCTTAAACTTTACAGATACTTTTAGGATCTGTAGTCTTCAAAAATTTTAAAAATTTAGAGAATTTAAGATCTTCAAAATTTTTGAAACCAATGGCTTCAGTTTTATAATTATTGGAAATTTTAGAAGATTGAATTTTCGAAAAACTCGAAATAAACTAAAAGATCCTTGTTATATTGAACATCATTACGATCTTATTATCTGTAAAATGATTCCATTTGTTTCAGAATCTTTAGGTTTCATAGAATCTTTAAACTAAGGAGTGCTAAAAGTTTTAAGACTTAAATTTTCTAGAAACACTTATTATATTTCAAAGATCTCAAAAGATTTTTAAGATCTTAAAATATATTAATATCCAGTGTTTATAAATTTTGAAATCTTACAGAACTGTAGAAATTTATTATTTTTAGATTTTTAAATTTTGTAAGGTCTACCAAGAAATACAACATATAGAATCTTAGACGTAAGGGACTCTTAAAGCATATTTTTGATTTTTATTATTTTTTAGATCTTTAGAACAGCAGTCAGTGTTGATAAAATTTTTAAAATTATTAGAATCTATAAAATCTTTAGAATTCTTAAAGCTAGGCAAAATTCTCGGAATGTTTGCAGTCTTCGGAATTTTTAGAAAATTTGGGCTCCTTAATGTTCGTGGAATCTTTGAGATTCTTTGGAGGATCTACGAGAAAATTTGAAATGATCACTGTGGTAAAAAATCTATCTTAAAGATCATAAAATTTTTAAAGTTTTGATCTCTTTGGAAGTGGAGTTTTTCAAGTATATCTGTAAATTTTAAAATTTTAAAGTTCAAACTTCTTAAAATTCACAAATACTTTTAAGATTTGTAGTATTCTACAATTTTAGAAATTTAAAGATTTTAATATTTTCAATATTTTGGAAACCAGTGGCTTCAATTTTGTAATTATTGGAAATTTTATTTCAGGAGACTAAATTTTCAAAAAATTCGATATAAAATAAAATATCATCTTTATTATATTGAACATCTTTAGGATATTATTATCTTTAAAATTGCTCCATTTGTTTTAGAATCCGTATGTTTCAAAGAACCTTAAAACTATTAATCGCTAAAATTTTTATGACTTAGATTTTCTAGAAATATTATCTTTCACGGATCTCAAAAGATTTTTAAGTTTTGATCTTCTTAGGAGTAGAGTTATTCAAGTCCACGTATAAATTTTAAAATTTACATCTTAAAATTTACAGATACTTTCAGGATCTGTAGTCTTCAAAAATTTTAAAAATTTAGAGAATTTAAGATCTTCAAAATTTTTGAAACTAATGGCTTGAGTTTTATAATTATTGGAAATTTTAGAAGATTAAATTTTCTAAAAACTCGAAATAAACTAAAGGAACCTTGTTATACTGAAGATCATTAGGATTTTAATATCTTTAAAATGATTCCATTTGTTTCAGAATCATTAGGTTTCATAGAATCGTTAAACTAAGGATTGCTAAAAGTTTTAAGACTTAAATTTTCTAGAAATACTTATTATATTTCAAAGATTTCAAAAGATTTTTAAGATCTTAATATATATCAATATCCAGTGTTCAGAAATTTTGAAATCTTCCAGATCTGTAGAAATTTTTCTTTTTTTTTAATTCTTAAATTTTGCAAGGTCTATTAAGAAATAAAACATATAGAATCTTGGATATATGGGACTCTTAAAGCATATTTTTGATTTTTATTATTTTTTAGATCTTTAGAAATAGCTGTCAATGTTGATAAATTTTTTAAAATTATTAGAACCTATAAAATCTTTAGAATTCTTAAAGCTAGGCAAAATTCTCGGAATGTTTGCAGTCTTCGGAATTTTTAGAAAATTTGGGCTCCTTAATGTTCGTGGAATCTTTGAGATTCTTTGGAGAATCTACGAGAAAATTTGAAATGATCACTGTGGTAAAAAATCTATCTTAAAGATCATAAAATTTTTAAAGTTTTGATCTTTTGGAAGTGGAGTTTCTCAAGTATATATGTAAATTTTAAAATTTTAAAGTTCAAACTTCTTAAAATTCACAAATACTTTTAAGATTTGTAGTGTTCTACAATTTTAGAAATTTAAAGATTTTAATATCTTCAATATTTTGGAAACCAGTGGCTTCAATTTTGTAATTATTGGAAATTTTATTTCAGGAGACTAAATTTTCAAAAAATTCGATATAAAATAAAAGATCTTTATTATATTGAACATCTTTAGGATATTATTATCTTTAAAATTGCTCCATTTGTTTTAGAATCCTTATGTTTCAAAGAATCTTAAAACTATTGATCGCTAAAATTTTTATGACTTAGATTTTCTAGAAATATTAATTATCTTTCACGGATCTCAAAAGATTTTTAAGTTTTGATCTTTTTAGGAGTAGAGTTATTCAAGTCCACGTATAAATTTTAAAATTTACATCTTAAAATTTACAGATACTTTCAGGATCTGTAGTCTTCTAAAATTTTAAAAATTTAGAGATTTTAAGATCTTCAAAATTTTTGAAACTAATGGCTTGAGTTTTATAATGATTGGAAATTTTAAAAGATTGAATTTTCGAAAAATTCGAAATAAACTAAAAGATCCTTGTTATATTGAACATCATTAGGATCTTATTATCTTTAAAATGATTCCATTTGTTTCAGAATCTTTAGGTTTCATAGAATCTTTAAACTAAGGATTGCCAAAAATTTTAAGACTTAAATTTTCTAGAAATACTTATTATATTTCAAAGATCTCCAAAAGATTTTTAAGATCTTAAAATATACTAATATCCAGTGTTTACAAATTTTGAAATCTTACAGAACTGTAGAAATTTATTTTTTTTTAGATTTTTAAATTTTGTAAGGTCTATCAAGAAATACAACATATAGAATCTTAGATATATGGGACTCTTGAAGCATATTTTTGATTTTTATTATTTTTTAGATCTTTAGAACAGCAGTCAGTGTTGATAAAATTTTTAAAATTATTAGAATCTATAAAATCTTTAGAATTCTTAAAGCTAGGCAAAATTCTCGGAATGTTTGCAGTCTTCGGAATTTTTAGAAAATTTGGGCTCCTTAATGTTCGTGGAATCTTTGAGATTCTTTGGAGGATCTAGGAGAAAATTTAAAATGAAATGATCAATGTGGTAAAAAATCTATCTTAAAGCTAATAAAATTTTTAAAGTTTTGATTTCTTTAGAGGTAGAGTTTCTGAAGTATATATGTAAATTTTAAAATTTTAAAATTCAAACTTCTTAAAATTCACAAATACTTTTAATATTTGTAATCTTCTAAAATTTTAGAAATTTAAAGATTTTAATATCTTCAATATTTTGGAGACCAGTGGCTTCAACTTTGTAATTATTGCAAATTTTATTTTAGGAGACTAAATTTTCAAAAAATTCGATATAAAATAAAAAATCTTTTTTTATATCGGACAGCATTAGGATATTATTATCTTTAAAATTGCTCCATTTGTTTTAGAATCTTTATGTTTCAAAGAACCTTAAAACTAATGATCGCTAAAATTTTTATGACTTAGATTTTCTAGAAATATTATCTTTCATAGATCTCAAAAGATTTTTAAGTTTTGATCTTTTTAGTAGTAGAGTTATTGAAGTACACGTATACTTTTAGGATCTGTAGTCTTCTAAAATTTTAAAAATTTGGAAATTCTAAGATCTTCAAAATTTTTGAAAAGAATGGCTTCAGTTTTATAATTATTGGAAATTTTAGAAGATTAAATTTTCGAAAAACTTGAAATAAACTAAAAGATCCTTGTTATATTGAAGATCATTAGGATCTTATTATCTTTAAATTATTCCATTTGTTTCAGAATCTTTAGGTTTCATAGAATCTTTAAACTAAGGATTGCTAAAAGTTTTAAGCCTCGAATTTTCTAGAAATACTTATTATATTTCAAAGATCTCAAAATATTTTTAAGATCTTAAAATATAGTAATAGTGTTCAGAAAATTTGAAACCTTACAGATCTGTAGAAATTTATTTTTTTTAGATTTTTAAATTTTGTAAGGTCTTTTAAGAAATAAACCATAAAGAATCTTAGATATATGGGACTCTTAAAGCATATTTTTGATTTTTGTTATTTTGTAGATATTTAGAAACAGCAGTCAATGTTGATAAAATTTTCAAAATTACTAAATCTAAGAAATCTTTAGAATTTTTAAAGCTAAGCAAAATTCTCGGAATGTTTGCAGTCTTTGGAATTTTTTGAAAATTTGGGCTCCTTAATGTTCGTGGAATGTTTGAGATTCTTTGGAGGATCTACGAGAAAATTTAAAATGATCACTATGGTAAAAAATCTATCTTAAAGATCATAACATTTTTAAAGTTTTGATCTCTTTGGAAGTGGAGTTTCTCAAATATATATGTAAATTTTAAAATTTTAAAATTCAAACTTCTTAAATTTCACAAATACTTTTAAGATTTGTAGTATTCTACAATTTTAGAAATTTAAAGATTTTAATATTTTCAATATTTTGGGAACCAGTGGATTCAATTTTGTAATTATTGGAAATTTTATTTCAGGAGACTAAATTTTCAAAAAATTCGATATAAAATAAAAGATCTTTATTATATTGAACATCTTTAGGATATTATTTTCTTTAACATTGCTCCATTTGTTTTAGAATCCTTATGTTTCAAAGGATCTTAAAACTAATGATCGCTAAAATTTTTATGACTTAGATTTTCCAGAAATATTATCTTTCAGGGATCTCAAAAGATTTTTAAGTTTTGATCTTTTTAGGAGTAGAGTTATTGAAGTCCACGTAAAAATTTTAAAATATACATCTTAAAATATACAGATACTTTCAGGATCTGTAGTCTTCTAAAATTTCAAAAATTTAGAGATTTTAAGATCTTCAAAATTTTTGAAACTAATGGCTTCAGGTTTATAATTATTGGAAATTTTAGAATATTAAATTTTCGAAAAACTCGAAATAAACTAAAAGATCCTTGTTATATTGAAGATCATTAGGATCTTATTATCTTTAAAATTATTCCATTTGTTTCAGAATCTTTAGGTTTCATAGAATCTTTAAACTAAGGATTGCTAAAAGTTTTAAGACTTAAATTTTCTAGAAATACTTATTATATTTCAAAGATCTCAAAAGATTTTTAAGATCTTAAAATATACTAATATCCAATGTTTATAAATTTTGAAATCTTACAGAACTGTAGAAATTTATTATTTTTTTAATTTTTAAATTTTGTAAGGTCTATCAAGAAATACAACATATAGGGCCGGTTGCATAAACGCAAATCAAATTTAATCTCTGATTAACTCCATAGTAACGATTGTTATTATCATAGTTACAATTGTTCTTAATCAGAGATTAAATTTGATTTGCGTTTATGCAACCGGCCCATAGAATCTTAGATATATGGGACTCTTAAAGCATATTTTTTATTTTTATTATTTTTTAGATCTTTAGAACAGCAGTCAGTGTTGATAAATTTTTTAAAATTATTAGAATCTATAAAATCTATAGAATTCTTAAAGCTAGGCAAAATTCTCGGAATGTTTGCAGTCTTCGGAATTTTTAGAAATTTTAGGCTCCTTAATCTTCGTGGAATCTTTGAGATTCTTTGGAGGATCTACGAGAAAATTTGAAATGATCAATGTGGTAAAAAATCTATCTTGACGATCATAAAATTTTTAAAATTTTGATCTCTTTAGAAGTGGAGTTTAAAATTTTAAAGTTCAAACATCTTAAAATTCACAAATACTTTTAAGATTTGTAGTCTTCTGAAATTTTAGAAATTTAAAGACTTTAATATCTTTTTAATTTTAGGAGACTAAATTTTCAAAAAATTCTTTATAAAATAAAAGATCTTTACTATATTGAACATCATTAGGACAGAATTAGAATTTTCTAGAAATACTCATTACATTTCAGAGATCTCAAAAGATTTTTAAGATCTTAAAATATGTTAATATCCAATGTTAAAAAATTTTGAAATTTTACAGATCTGTAGAAATTATTTTTTTTTAATTTTTAAATTTTGTAAAGTCTATTAAGATATAAAAAAATCTTAGATATATGGGACTCTGAAAGCATATTTTTGATTTTAATATTTTGTAGACCTTTAGAAACAGCAGTCAGTTTTGTTAAAGTTCAGACTTTTTTTAAATTTTGATTTATTTAGAAGCAGAATTACTGAAGTATATACGTAAATTCTGAAATTCAAACATCTTGAAATTTACGAACACTAAGAAAATTGACACTGGGAAATTTTTTGTTAAAAATTATATGTTGTCAGTTTAATTAGGCCAACTTTAAATTTTTGGCCCAGAAATGGTGGATGCGCCGGGTTAGTAGCTAATTTAAAATATTATTTATTTTATTTGTATAATTTTGATTAAATTTCTAAATTAATAATATATTTTCACTGTTTTCATTTTATGCTTTTATCATTAATTTCCAATCTTTCCCAGTAATGGAAAAACAGTAAACAATATTTTCTGCGCAAATTTCCGCCCCGCATCGGATTACCTATTGTTTCATTCCATCAAGCATCATCTATCGTGTTTCACTTTTTGTTCAGTTCGCCTCGTGACACCCCGTTCCATCCAGTCGTAAAAAATTCCTCCTCTCCCGAAACATCCGGCATATTTTTCCGCAATCCCGATTCAGTTAAATTTCGCTGAAATTACGACCCACAATGCAATATTCCTCCTCGCAATGCAATTCCGGCTCTTGAAATTCCAGACATCCAGACAAAACAATTCCGCTATCCTGTGCATACACACATCCCCGCACGTAAGAGGATTACGCAAACCCGGCATCGAATTCAATAGGCTTTGTCGGTGAAAGGCGCTGAAAAGAAAACGTTCAATTTTCAGGTGGTTGCCGAGCAAGACGGCAACAACTTGTTGGATCCCGGCCTGAAACCGTGGCAATTGGAGCTGTTGGCACAGCGGCTGTCTGAAATCTCCAGCCAAACAGGTGGCGATTATGCTTGGGACAGGTCCTTGCGTTCTCCTGAAGCCAAACGTCAGAGTCGTTATCGTCAGTGCTACTTCAATCCCATCAGCTGCTTCAGAAAATGAACCACTTACTGAGTCCCCGCTACCACTTGTGTTTTCTTTTTGGAAATAAATCTCGCTGTATTGTGTAATATACAAATGATGGTATAAAAAGTGTTTAAATGTTGCATATTTTTGATCTGGACTAAATTTACGTCAAGTAGGATGTAGAAATAAAGTCGTTGAAAAATTTTCACCTTTTTGGTTTTATTATTCTCGCATGGTTAGAGCTAACTGCATTTCTCGCGACGTGACGTTTCCGAGCTCCTAAACAGCGAAAAATTAGGTCCCCCTTTTACGTCTACATAAAAAGTATTTAAAACGACAAACAAAATTTGTTTTTTATGTGCTGAAACCGTGGCAGAGGTCTTTTGTGGGACGGTGATAAAGCGGAGATAAATAACGTCGTAGTAAAATCTTTATGGTTGAGTTTGTCGAGTTTATTTATAAGATCGTAGGATTGTAAAGTCAATAAGACTTTGCGGACTGGGAATTCTTGCAAATCCTCAAACGTGGTCAGTTTCGAAACAACGGATGAAAGCTCAGGTCGACGAAATTCTTGTAATAAGGACGTTGTTTGTTTTTGTGATGAAATGAGGACCAATGGTTGGATCAAAGGCGCTTTGCGTCCATGACGTCAAGGTCGGAGATATTTATGTCCCAAGGGTGTAAAATAAAAAATATATGGCGATTTAAGCAATAAAGGTAAGGGATAAGGAACTCTTTTTTTTAAACAGCTCGTGAATAAAAAATTACTAAGACATCATATTAGCTGAGTATTTCCAGCTATATAATAAAAGCTAAGTTTAATGGCATGTTGATTAGTGTATACACATATGTTCTTAAATCGTTTTTAAAGTATTTTTATTCAGTATATAAATATTGTTTATATTTTTTGCTATGGTGGGGCTATATAGACAGATTTTAGTTTATGTTGAAGATAAGTAAAGTGTATGCAAATCAGATTCTACAGGACCCCTAATATTATTTTCTTTAAATATGTGAAAAAATTCTAAGGGTATCGTGTGTGCTTTACTTTCGAAGAAAAACCTCGAAAAACCGTGTTTTAATTTTGAAAGAGTTTGGAAGATCATCGGTGTCGTATATGTTTTGAATTTGAAATAATTTGAAAAAAAAAACGGGAATCCATGGTGTTTTATTTTTGAAAGAGTCTGAAAGAACCTTAAAAACCTATAGGTTTTTTCTTTTTTTTTTTTTGTTAATATATAAAAAAGTCTTAGGGACAACTAGTAAGTTTTTTTAAGAATTTAAAGGACTTTGTGAATAATTTTAAAGAACCTTGGGGGCTCTTAATCTCTTTATTATGGTGTTTTATATTTAAAAGAATCTGGAGGATCTTTTGTATCTTTTTCATTAAATAAATTAAAGAATCTTAGAGGTCCTTTGTGTTTTATCCTTTCGTTCTTTCGCCCTTTAGTCCTCTAACCTCTTCTTCAATTAGTCCTTTAGTTCTATTAATTCTTTTCTCCTTTCGTCCTGTCGTCTTTGTCTTCGTTCGTCGTTGCATCCTTTTTATCTTTTAATTTCTTAGTCCTTTCGTCGTGACGTCCCGAGAAAACGAAAAGACCAAAAAACTTATGGACTACCGGACTACAGAACTAAAGAACTATTGAAGCAATAAAGAGCCAAAAGGCTAAAGGTTCAAAAGACAAAAGGATAAATGAATGAAAGGATTAATGGAACTAAAAGACTGAAGTAAGCTAGAATAAAAGGACGACAGGACGAAAAATTAAAGAAACCAGACGAAAGACGGAATGATCAAAGGAACTAAGAACTAAAAAACTAAGGAAACAATTAAGGAATAAAGGACGAAAGATCGAAAGAACAAAGGTTTAAAAGACCCAAAAAGGACTAAATAATTAAAGAACGAAAGGACCAAAGGACTAATGGAAGAAAAATTTAATGGACGAAAAGAATGAGGGACTAACGAGCGAAAAGACGAAAGGGCGAGAAAATGAAGGAACGAAGAACCAAGGACCGAAGGAAAAAACCAAAGCATTAGATAAGATCGAAAGGACAAAAGGATGAAGGAAAGAACGACGACGAACCAAGCAAAAGGGGCCAAATTATTAGAAAATTGATGAAAGATTGAAGACTAGAGAGCGACTAAAGAATTAAAAAACTAAAGGAATAAAAGAGTAATAAAACAAAAGGACCAAAGGACTAATAGAGGAAAAAGTTATAGGACTAAACGGTTGAAGGACTAAAAAATGAAAATACAAAAGGACTAAAAAGCTGTAGAAGGAGTAAAAAATTAAAGGACTAAATTACGAAAGAAATAAGTAACAAAAAGACAAAAAAAAATGAAAAATCGGAGAAACGAAGGAATAAATGACGAAGAACTGAAGGACAAAAGGACAAAAGACCAGAGTAAGTCTAAAGAATTGAAGAACTAAAAACTAAGGCTCTAAAGGAGCAAATGATGAAAGGGTTAAAGGACGAAAATATCAAAGGACTAAAGGACTAATAAAACTAAACGGAAGAGAAACCAGAGGACGAAAGGACGAAGGAACAAAGGACCAAAAGACTAAAACACTAGGAAAGGAAAGGATCAAACGACTAACGATAGGACGAAAGCATTGAAAGGCTAAAAACAGGACGGAAAGACGAAGAAACGTAAGAACAAAAAATAACGAACAATAGACTGAAGGATCAAAGAAATGAAAGACTAGAAAAATACTAAAGAATTAAAGAACTGAAAAAATTAAAAGACTAAAAAGCAAAAGCCTAAAGGCTGCAAGGACGATACGATCAAAGGACTAAGGAATGAAGGACAAAAAGACAAAAAAACGAAAGCATGAAAGAACATGGGGCGAAGGAATGAAGGAACAAATAACAAGAATCACAGAACTAAAAGGCCTGAGAAGGATTAAAGAATAAAGAACTAAAAAACTAAAGAACTATAGAATTAAACAACTAAAAAAAAACAAAGGACTAATCGAAGACAAATCTAAAAGCACGAAAGGAATAAGGAACCAAGGATGAAGGACTGAAGCATCAAAGAATAAAGGGTGAAAGAAACAAGGGATCAAAGCGCGAAAGGATCAAAGGATCAAAGGACGAGAGGGTCAAAGGATCAAAGGACGGTAACATCAAAGGATCAAAGGACGAAAGACAGGAGGATGAACGGACGAAAGGACAAAAGGACGAAAGTATGAAAGGATGTCAGGACAAAATTCGAAAAGAACCAAAAAATGAAAGGACTCGAGAGTGAAAGGACGAAAGGGGCAAGGACTACAGGACTAGTGAAACTAAAAGACCTAACTATAGAACATAAAGACGAAAGAACGAAGTAACGAGAGAACGAGGGAACTAAGGAACAATCGATGAAAGATTGAAGGACCAAAGGACTAAAAGACTAGAGAGGGACTAAAGAATTAAATAATTAAAGGAATAGAGAAGCAATAAAACTAAAGAACCAAAGGACTAATGGAGGAAAAAATTATAGGACTAAACGGTTGAAGGACAAAAAAATGAAAGGACAAAAGGACTAAAAAGCTGGAGAAGGACTAAAAAACTAAAGAACTAAATTACGAAAGGAGTAAGTAACGAAAGGTCGAAAGGATGAAAAAAGGGAGCAACGAAGGAACAAATGACGAAGAACTGAAGGACGAAAGGACAAAAGACCACACTAAGTCTAAAGAATTGAAGAATTAAAAACTAAGGCTTTAAGGGAGCAAATGATTAAAGAGTCAAAAGAACGAAAAGATCAAAGGATTAAAGGACTAATAAAACTAAAGGACCAAAAACTAACGGAAGAGAAACCAGAGGACGAAAGGACGAAGGAACGAAGGACCAAAAGACTAAAATACTAGGAAAGGAAAGAATCAAACGACTAACGAGAGGACGAAAACATTGAAAGGCTAAAAAAAAAGGACGAAAAAACAAAGAAACGTAGGAACAAAAAATAACGAACAATAGACAAAAGGATCAAAGAAATGAAAGACTAGAAAAATACTAAAGAATTAAAGAACTGAAAAAATTAAAAGACTAAAAAGCAAAAGCCTAAAGGCTGCAAGGACGATACTATCAAAGGACTAAGGAATGAAGGACAAAAAGACAAAAAAACGAAAGCATGAAAGAACATGGGGCGAAGGAATGAAGGAACAAATAACAAGAATCACAGAACTAAAAGGCCTGAGAAGGATTAAAGAATAAAGAACTAAAAAACTAAAGAACTATAGAATTAAACAACTAAAAAAAAACAAAGGACTAATCGAAGACAAATCTAAAAGCACGAAAGGAATAAGGAACCAAGGATGAAGGACTGAAGCATCAAAGAATAAAGGGTGAAAGAAACAAGGGATCAAAGCGCGAAAGGATCAAAGGATCAAAGGACGAGAGGGTCAAAGGATCAAAGGACGATAAAATCAAAGGATCAAAGGACGAAAGACAGGAGGATGAACGGACGAAAGGACAAACGGACGAAAGTATGAAAGGACGTCAGGACAAAATTCGAAAAGAACCAAAAAATGAAAGGACTCGAGAGTGAAAGGACGAAAGGGTCAAGGACTACAGGACTAGTGAAACTAAAAGACCTATCTATAGAACTAAAAGACGAAAGAACGAAGTAACGAGAGAACGAGAGAACTAAGGAACAATCGATGAAAGATTGAAGGACCAAAGGACTAAAAGACTAGAGAGGGACTAAAGAATTAAATAACTAAAGGAATAGAGAAGCAATAAAACTAAAGAACCAAAGGACTAATGGAGAAAAAAATTATAGGACTAAACGGTTGAAGGATAAAAAAATGAAAGGACAAAAGGACTAAAAAGCTGGAGAAGGACTAAAAAACTAAAGAACTAAATTACGAAAGGAGTAAGTAACGAAAGGTCGAAAGGATGAAAATAGGGAGCAACGAAGGAACAAATGACGAAGAACTGAAGGACGAAAGGACAAAAGACCAGACTAAGTCTAAAAAATTGAAGAATTAAAAACTAAGGCTTTAAAGGAGCAAATGATTAAAGAGTCAAAAGAACGAAAAGATCAAAGGATTAAAGGACTAATAAAACTAAAGGACCAAAAACTAACGGAAGAGAAACCAGAGAACGAATGGACGAAGGAACAAGGACCAAAAGACAAATACTAGGAAAGGAAAGGATCAAACGACTAACGAGAGGATGAAAACATTGAAAGGCTAAAAAAAGGACGGAAAAACGAAGAAACGTAGGAAC